TATATATATATATATATATATATATATATATATATATATATAAGCAATGGGAATCTTAGTATGTTTCCATCGGTTGTCTTCACAGTCACGTCCACAAAGTCGAGACTTCGGTCACTCAATCTTTTCCTCTAGAATATGTCCTCAACAGCTAACAAGTCATCAGTTTCATCGAGTGCAGTTTCCTTTGCTTTTCCTTGTAACTCACAGTCAACACATTTTAATCCTCAGAAATATATGATTTTACTTTTCAATGGATTCGTCGAAACGTTCAGAACGGACACAACGAGAGATCAGAGGACTTCAAGCATTACGTCGTAACCAATTAAAACGTCGAATTGTTTAATTGTCAGAAAACTAAGAGCTCGACATTGAAGATCTGCATCGTCGGTTGCGGTAACTCTCCGATGGACGGCTTGGATGCGCTTTTGATCAACTAAAAGCGAGCTCCGTTGGAACGGTTCAAGTATAAGTGATCCTCAGGAGCAGCAGACACCAGGGTCCCACGGCCGTCGGCCAGAAAAGTCATGACACGGGGGCTTCCATTGCGTTCAGTTGCAATCCCGTGAATATAGTTTCCCTTCGTGGGCGTTTCTTTTGTTTTTCTTGTTAATAAAAAAGAGACGTTGGTATATTTTGTCGCCCGATCTCTCAAGACGCTTCGCCTTCTCTCTCTCTCTTCACTCGCTCACATGAAGGGATAACTCGAGCTCCGATTCCTCTCTCTGGCGACCTCGATTTCTAGGGTTCCGAGATCCGACTGTTGGTGCGTTTTCGATCCGATTCGACCTTGTTGGATGGTTGATTTGAGGTTCTTGGGCTTCCACGATTTGGGACCTACGCCGGGAGGGGAGTTTTCTTATTTCACGCATGCGGCCCTACGGCTCGAACCCCAGGAGGGATCACGCCGGCGGCCGAGGCGACCAGACGTCTCCGTGGATTCCTCCCGTGGATGGCGGTGACGGCGGCCGCGGTGTTGGGGGTATCGGGAACCTGGCCGACCGGTTGTCCGGGTTGTGCTTGGGCGACGGCCCCGATGAGAGCCTGTATCAGGTCATGAAGGCTGTGGAGGACGCTGAGAACACCATCATGCAACAGGTCAGCTGGTCGTTCTCCCATATTTCCGCAGGAACTGTGATTTCGTTACTTACAATTTATCTCGGAGGGCGTTGTTTAGTTTTTAGATGTGGATTGGTTTAAAAAATTATGAATTTGTTTGCACAAAGTCCGGTTTGATCAATATATGGGTAAGCATGATAATTATATTGTAGCAAATCGTGTTGAGGTGAGATTTTTTTCTAGACTAAGAATCTGATGACGAGGGAATAATAATGTGGATGCAAAATGGTGACGTTAGAGTTTTATTACAACGGTTAGGTACTTTAAAGAACCTGTGGAAAATTTGTACTGAGCTTTAAATTTTAGCCTGCTAGTAGCAATGTTGCAGGCATAAAATGATGAATAACTTTCTATTATGTCTGTGTTCTGAGCAAGAAAATGGTTTTTGTTTCCACAAAATGATTTTCCTTGCCCTCATTATCAGTAACATGGGCAGATAAGCAAAAACATAGATGAGATTGAAGGTGGTTGTGCAGACTAGCTTTTTAAATGAACGCCACTTCCATTAGCCAGAAGTTCTGTCAACATCTGTTTTGGTTGGATTAAAGAGTAGAATACACAGTGAAGGATCTTATCAATTACCATGGCATTCCTGCTAAAAGTGACATAGAGATCACTTTTGATGTGTGGCTTGGTGCTCGGCAATGTTGTTTCTCTCTTGAACTATTGAAAGTTAAAGATAAATAGTGTTCTTCATCTGTGAAGCATAAAGTGCATGTAAAACCTTCACCCAGTTTCTTCATCATTGCCAATGGAGGGGTTTCCTTTGACTGCTTATAGTGAGGAAGCCTACAATTTCAGTTACAGAAATTTGGTCAATGCAAGGGGTGAAAAGGTGAATGTTTAAAAATAGCTCTTTATTCATCTTCATAAAGAAAGGTGGACGTTTAGAGTTCTAAGCTGCAGGTTTTAGAGAAGTGGATCATTTGATACATGTATCTCTGCAAGAAGTTTGCATTGCAATATGTACTATTGAAGATCAACATACCATGTCGAACAAAGTTTGCATGATTGAAACGTTGTCCTTGTAGGTAGAACTTACATAAAGCATGTGGAACAAAATCATTCTTGAGGACTCGTAGAACTTTTGAATTGCAGATTTAGCTCGAATTAGGATATCTTCCACCAGGTGGAATTGACATGCTTAATGTGCTATTGAAGAGTGGTATACCATATTTGTATAGTGACCATTAGAATGGTGGATGGATTGTTGAAATAGTTGGGTTTAATTGTTCAGGAAAATTTTGGATTATGGCAGTTCCTGTTGTAACTGAAGACTTGTCAAGCATGGAAAGTTAAAATAGCCAAACTAACTCTAAATTTTATTTTGTTTATGCTTAACTATCTTCACATGAGGTCTGACAATTGTGGCAGCTGCTGGAACTTTCATTCTGTTTTTACAAAGGTACCTTAGTGGCTATAAAATAGCTACCTTGTTTTCTTCAGTTACAAATAGCCAGATTTATTGCTTCCAAGTTCTTGAAAGCTAAACATTTTAATTTTGATTCAACTTGGAAAGAGCTTCGATTAGACATGGTCCTTCAGTAGTCAAGACCAATCTTAATGGTGGAATGGCCCTGATTTTTCGTGGTGGATTTTGAGACTCTTCGTTTGACTTTCATGGGAAATCAGATCTGAAGTAGATATACAAGACCTTATTCACTCCTAAGAAGCATCTGTAGTATTTTCTGTTGTGTGCAAGACAAGTAATATTGGACATGAGTTATGATAGTGAGTGCTTTATTTTATTTTTTTCATTTAATTTTAGTGGTGAAACATTTGACTCCCAATGAGCATTATTCTTGGTTTTTTTTTGGGCAAGACCTATGTGGTATTGAACTCAAGCTGTGAAAGCACATGCCCTGTTTTCTCTTAATTCATTGAACTTTAGCGTGAACCATTTTAATCATCCAATTTTTATCTTAATATATGAACTAGGGTGTTCCATCTACTGGTTGTAAGAAAATGACATATTATGTGAGCTTAAGTATATTGTTTGCTTGTGGACCACTTTGTTTCAATGACGTATGACTATCATGGGGGGATGACTTGCAAAACCAATGATCGGCATTTGGGAAATGCATTTGGGGCTTAAAAGGAAATAGTGGACTTTGAATGACCTTGGAAAGGATACTAAGTTTGGCAAGGATTAAAGAATACCAAGCATTTTACAAGAATGATATGCTTCCAAAGGAGATACCTGATGTTATTGATATTATTATAGATAGTTGGTTGGTCTTTGAGAGATTATAGGTTAAACTCGGAACATGAGTCAATAACTATATTCTTTCAAGTCATACATAGAGCTGCGGAAGCCTGTGGAATTGATTTTTGTTTAAATTTTGAAAGACATTTCTAGCAATCTTTGGTACATCCCTTATCTAATTTTTGGTATTTTGTTACATGCTTTGCATTGAGATCTTTTTGGACTGTGGTTAAATCATTAATCCTTCAAATGTTGACAATATTATATCTCTCTTGAATTATAAACTGTGAATTCTTTGAATGCTCTTCACTGAATTTAGCAAAATATTGATATATGGGTATTTCTTTAAGCAGATTTCCATAATGATTATCTTCTAAATCATCTTGATCTTGTTCTCATTTGTCAGCAAGATTGTGAAAACCAGGATTTGTTCGAGTATTTGATTGGTTTGACTGGATCTGCAGTTCGGGTTATTCTGGATTGGTTAGATTAGGTTACTGAAATGGAATTTAGCAGGAAAAATGAAATAAATAAGGACCAGAGAACTAAAACTCAGAAATAGAGAAACAAGGAAAGACAAGGAAAATGTATGTACCCGTAAAACAAGAAAATGTCTATGATAAAGAGTTATAAGAAGTTTATTTGTGGTGCATGATTATAACTGATAGATGATAATAGGATATGTTATAAACAATATGCACATATTATTGGCAAATCACAAATTCTAACATATCATTTATTTAATTTCTTATATTTGAGGATACTTGATTAGTAATAGAAACAGATGAGGGGGAAAACTTCTTCACACTTGGTGGGCTTTGAGACTTATTGATTGCTGAGGGTATAGTTTCCTGCATTATGATAACTTGATGTATTTTTTTTTTTCGCTCTCTTGGTTTCATCAGCAAGATCAATTGAGATTTGTTGAACTGGGCTGATTTTTCTCCAAAATATGTGCACATTACTTCGAGACATGATGTCTCTAATGGAACCAATTAGGCCTTTGTATCTTTTTGCATCGAATTATTAATGTTGAGCAGATCATTAAATGTTTATAAGTTAATTAAAGATTTTTATTTTTTTTTGTTTAAGTCTTACATGGAATTAGTTTGGTGGTCATGGTGGAAGTTCATGCTTGAACTGAGTCAGTCAGTCTTCTTTATTTTTCTTGTGCACGCATGTTGAAGCTTTGCTCTTTTAGGCATTTTCTAACAATGAAGTCACCGGGTGCCCAAGTGAGGCGAAGCTTGGGCGCTCGCCTATTGGGCTGGGTGGGCGACTTGACTCAAGCATAGCCCAAGCACGTAGCAAGTTGAGTGCTCGACTGGGCCCAGGTGTTGAGTGGGCCGAGTGCTCACCTCGTTCAACTTAGGCCACGTCGAGCCTGAGTCGAACCAAAACACTCATCTGGTTCGATTGAACCATGTATCTGTTGCAGAAACCACCACCCGCAAGTGCCCTAACGCTGAAGTCCTTTCCCCACTTCGTTCCTCATGGCGGCAGAGTTCCTCCCATCAATGAACGACGGTAACAGTGGCGGGTCTTCCTCTGATGGTAGTGGCGATGGCTTCTTCCTCTCCCTCTAAGTATATCTATCTCTCTCTTTTTCCCTCCTCCCTCCTACCTTTGCCCCGTTCACCGCAGCCCTCCTACGTTCAGCACATCGCTCCGTCGCAGCCCTCCTACGTTAATTGCAGCCCCTCGCCTCCCCCCCTCTTCCCCAGTTGTTCTTCCCTCTTCCCTCTTTCCCTCTTCTTTGTACACCGCTGCCCTCTGATACTGGGGGTAATGCAGAATGAGGGGGTAAAGTAGAATAGATTTTGACAGAAAACCGATATTAGAACTGTATTTGCTAGAATGAGTATTTCAGATAGAAAAGTCATAGTAGACAAGGAACAAATTCTTAAAGTCTCAGTACAGTTGTATTTGCTAAAATAAGTGTTTTGAATAGAAAAGGCACGAACTCACAATAAAACTTAAATAAAATCGAAAAATAGCTCACCATCAAGTTAAAATCACAAAGGGATACAGAAATTTCACCACCCCAAGGATTATAAATGAGGATACAGAACTGAAAACAAAAGACTCACCACTCAAGGACGCATCCAAGAGATACAGAGTTTAAGAGAGCTTTTGCCAAAATATCAGCAGTTTCTATAGTCCTTTTTAAGCCCTAAACACCATAATAAGTACTAGTGCATGAAACAACCCTTAATGTATAGGGAATTTCGAAATTAAGTGTTTTACAACTGTTAACCAACTCCTTTAATGCATTCCTTGGTCATGAAGAAAAGCACCTTGAAACAGTTTTAACTTTGTACAGGGAATATGCTGGTGAGCTATCATATTTGAGTGGGCTAAGTTGAAGATTATGAGGCAACATTGTTGGCTGAAAAAAATATCATATCATCAGCAAGGTTCATATGAGCAGATTATAGCAAATTAGACAATCCTATGTCAAATCACCAACATTAAACTCTATATGCTTTTTGTGTTTGTTGGAAACTTCCATATACCTCTCATTTTACTTTTCTATATTTGCTTTAATACCCTCATGTAGCTTCGTTATCTACTTTACTCTTTCATCAGCATCTTCACTAAATTGCTTAGTTGTCGAATGAGGGACGGAGTCCAAAGGACCAATAGGATTAGCACCATAAACAACCTCGAAAGGACTCTTATTAATACTATGATGCATAGAACGATTGTAGGCAAACTCAATTTATGAAAGAATGAGATCCCACTGCTTAATATTCTTGCCAACATAGCTTCT